ATATACAAAAGTACACTATAGCGTCAACATACATATACAAAGGTACACTATAGTGTCAACATACATGTACAAAGGTACACTATAGCGTCAACATACATGTACAAAAGTACACTATAGCGTCAACATACATGCACAAAAGTACACTATAGCGTCAAAATACATGTACAAAAGTACACTATAGCGTAAACATACAATGGCACACTGTGTCGTTAACATTTGATGAAATAAAAATAAACTTGGCGAATCGGCGAAGTTTTGTCACCGTTTTCAGGACCTGGTGATAACTTCTCAGAAATATCAAAACGTTATTGGACAATACACTCAGTATAGACACGGAGCATGTGTCTTTTTATCGCTATCCCCTGTATTTTGTTACTCAATATTGTGTTTGGTCATACCATCATGAGTTGACAATTTAAGTGTTGGGATCCTTGATACCACTATAGTGGAAATATTATATACATATCGATATTTACGTACATCTGAAGCTGTACAGCTGTCACATCCCCGAGTATGTCGACTCTCGTACAAATTCTGCGACATTTTGACATATTGTTGTATAAATGGGGACTTTGAATAATCGGCTGTTTGTAAAGCTATTTTTGATGTGATATTGAACACAACCAGATATTGTATACTATTTGTAAGAGTTAAATTCGTTTAACAGTTGTTTTGTTATAGCTGTCACCGTGCGACAGATGGTCAGATTTGTGAATGTGATATGTTTATATACACAAATAAAAAACTATCAATAACAATCGGCTATCAAAGAGGGCGAAAGGCTTGCATTATGTTAACACATATTGTGATTTATACTTTTATGGAAGTGATTTAATATTTGTCGTAGTCACTTAAAATCACACATGCGCACACCCCACTCTGCTTTTATAGCTTTCATGTTATGCATTTCAGCATTTCTGAAACAATCCTGCGTGTTTTGTGTATACTAACTTCCATACCATTTCATTTGATATATGAGAAAAAATGTCAAAAGGCACCGAACCAATTGTCTCCATTCATGAAAATTCCAGCGCATAATTTCATTTTGTTTACATACAGACTAATGAAATTAATCACAAACTTTTCTTATCATTGACGCTGATCACACAGAATTTTCTTTACATCATTATCTCAAAGGACAATATACAGGCTAATGGAATTAACTACAATTTTTCATCGTTAAAGCTGATCACACAAAATTAATTACATATGCAAATTATGATATTTGAAGTTTGGTGTCTCTAGCTCATGTTGTATTTTACTAATCGTTCTCCTTCTCTGCTTTCTTCTTCCTCTTGAGTGATTCTCTGACATGTAGATACAAGCAATCTTAGCTATCAATCTTAGTATTGAATCATACCAAGAACTTCTCTATAGAGGGAGAGGCCGTTTTCTTGGCAGGTCGTCGTAGCTACCCCGGTATGGCGTGTTGGACAACCAGTACAAAACATGTGCATGCATGCTAACCACGATTTCACCACAAATCAATGCATTTACTACTTCAATGTTTAAAAAATATGTGTATATATATATATAAATCTGTGGCAAGTATTGACGTTTTTATATGTAAGGGAGAGATCTTAAATAATTCAAAATCTGACGTCACCAATGTTTGAGTATTTAATTGATTTTTGGAATCATTATTCTACTGAAAACTCATGCTACGTCTAAGATTGCATATATTATTTAGTTCTGAGCTACTTTACTACTGCTAATAGCGTTCGTAATGCTTTTCATTAGACAGTCTAACCGGGTCCAGGCGTCGTTTAACGAAAAACAACCACAATGGTAATATAATATGAAAATTGCGCATGAAATATGTATCGGTGTTCATTAACCTTTTGCCTCGAGCGTAACGATGGGTGACGACACGTGCTTTGTTTGATGTTATAAAATCATGGAATGATACTAATATTCCTCGTATCTCATTGGGAATCTCACGTTTCTGTCGGCAAAGGAATGTTTAATCTTATTCTAAGCCTAATAATTCAATGCATTAGTTTTCATTATATTTCATATTTACTATTTTTTATGTTGACATTCTGTCAGCTTTGTAAATACAGTCGAGATAATGAGGTCCGATTGTAGTGTACGCTAAAATGAATATTATCATTCAGAAATATGCATGCTATTACTTTTAGCGGGGTGTTTGATATCTACACATGTAACGTGAATCAGTATTTAGAGAATTAATCACTCTCATTGGATACCCCTTGAGGTGACCTTATAACGTTATAATTGGTGAGAAAAAATACTAGTGTCAGTGAAAGGCCTAGCGGAAGACGTCTAGGTCCAGATAGGTATTGTTAGGCTGTTATTATCTGGACCAATTTGTCCTCCACCATCATTTTACTTCAGTTTACCTAGGTTCACTACCTACCAGTTATTACTTGTTTAAACGTCCATTAGCTAAATACTGTTATATTTGTCAGCTACCCCGAATTTATTATTTGTATGTCTTCAATAATTATATACCGAGACTAATATAAGACACAGAAGTAAATAGCACCTTTTAATACAATCAATAGGTAGGATACAAGGTAGCCAAATAATGTTTGTTCCTTCTAGGACTCGTCAAGGATGCTAAGGGACTTAAACACTAGATAGGCAGATACGTTAGCCCCACAGTTCAATGAATTTGTCATTTTGTTATTTTGTTTGTGTACATTGTAATTTGTATTTTACTATATTTTGCCCCTCTTTGCTTTTCAATAGCTCATTTATTTACAAAAATCTCGTGCTCTCAAGTATACCCATAAGGGTTTATAAGGTGATGTTTGATACTGTGTAGAGTAGAACTTGTTAGTTGAGAGCCTCCAGGAGGTGGAGATCCAGACTTTGCAGACCTAAACCGTGTTCACTGAAGCATATCTAATTGAACTATTGTATACTTCACAACCGAACGATTCGCTAAATCAATCAATTTCGAGCGAGGTTTTGTCAAGTACGCAGTAAATCTCCAAAGTAGATTGATCTGTGTGTATAGTGACAGTTTTCTTGTTGGTTACGTTTGTGCCATCAATAGATATATATATATATGCTGAAAGTCTATTCAACCCCCCCTCCCCAATCCCTTTCTTCCCCTCCTCTCTCTTGGTGATGTTAGAGATATACTATTGAAATAATGTTTGAAACAAGCCATGGACATGCGGTGTTATAGCCTTTTACAAAGACATCAGAACATTTATGGATTGGCAGGCAACAAAACTGTGATTCCGAAAAACCATTTCACAATTTGTGATAAGAACAGAAAATGGTGAATGCACTTTTACACTGATCAAAAAAGTGTTGTGTTCGATAATGTCACGAATATCTTAAGCAGGAGATCTAACACATCGTCACTATCGCAAGTTTAAAAGCATATTGTGGTGTATTTTTAGGATAGGTCTACAGCAGTGGCGATCACTATAAGTAAATGGTGCTGCATTTCACTGTCTAAGATGACAGATTATCATAAGTTTCCTTAAAAACACAATCATACAGAGTAGCAGAAATTGCCAGTACTGTCTGAGGAAACAGATAAGAGTCCCTAATAAAGACTGAAATTCATCACGTGTTTCATGAAACATTCAAGTAACAAATCGGTCATATGAATCATAAATTGGAATCTTCATTTTTGAGATCACTACTTTGTGTCAGTCGTCTTCCTCTTGTATGTAATGCATATCTATCAAGTATAACAGTTTATACAATATCACGCCATATTATCTTGTTTTCTTGTTTGCTGGGCATATCGTCCCATGCACAGCAAGAGTCTCCTTAAAATATCTGATTGCTGCATAGCTGAACAACATATGAGAGGCCCGTCGCTTGCCATACAGCAATTAGGATAAAGCGTCTTACCCAAGGAAGCAACGATGATAGATAGCTACATTTCCTTTCCCCACGCCGACTGGGGCAGTCAATACCGCCACAAAGCGATAACGAATGGCATACTGAGACGTCAATGAGAAAACTAGTCAGACTTTAAAAGATGATGTTTAATGCTAATTCAGAGCGAAATAATGTCATATGAGAACGATGATAAGAAGAGGTAAAGTAATATTCAATGATAACATTGATACAGTGGTAGAGAAAATAATAGCAATCCTAAGGGGTATCGGTAACCCGTAAAATATATATATCTTGCCCATATTCAAGATCTATTCGAATATGCATGCGAAGTATGGGACATAATCAGTACAGCTAATTCCTTAATGTTAAAAAACTCCAGTGAGAATCTGAAAGGAGTACTCAAAGGACTGTCCATATGTATAAAAACAGAATTCTTACATTGAAAAACCGATTGGCTACCACTTTCTAAGAGACGAGACGCACGCACGCTTTCTTTCTTCTATTGTATAGTAAGCGACTTTGCACCTACATGTAATTTTCTCGCAGACATATTGCCAACGGATATTGGAAATTTAGCTCCATACAATCTACGAAACGCATACCTATTGAGACAACAGCATTTCCGTCTACAACTGTCGCAAAATTCAATCTCTCCTTCTACAACAAAACTTTGGAATGATTTAGATAACAGTGTTAGAGACTCTCATCCTTTAAATTCTTTCAATGCTAATGAAAAAAATCAATATCGGCAAATGTTATTCTCAGCAAGAACCTAGAAAACTATGGAGCTAGAAAACTAAATCGTCTTGATTGTCGTCTGAGAAACCAAGCTAGCACTCTTAATCATAATCTTTTCAAAGCAAATCTGAAAGATTCATCTGAACATCAATGTTGGCATCCCTGTGAATATTCATCTGAACATCAATGTTGGCATCCCTGTGAATATTCATCTGAACATCAATGTTGGCATTCTTGTGAATATTCATCTGAACATCAATGTTGGCATTCTTGTGAATATTCACCTGAACATCAATGTTGGCATCCCTGTGAATATTCATCTGAACATCAATGTTGGCATCCCTGTGAATATTCATCTGAACATCAATGTTGGCATCCCTGTGAATATCCATCTGAACATCAATGTTGGCATTCTTGTGAATATTCATCTAAACATCAATGCTGGCATCATTGTGAATATTCATCTGAACGTCAATGTTGGCATTCTTGTGAATATTCATCTGAACGTCAATGTTGGCATTCTTGTGAATATTCATCTGAACGTCAATGTTGGCATTCTTGTGAATATTCATCTGAACATCAATGTTGGCATCCCTGTGAATATTCATCTGAACATCAATGTTGGCATCCCTGTGAATATTTATCTGAACATCAATGTTGGCATCCCTGTGAATATTCATCTGAACATCAATGTTGGCATCCCTGTGAATATTCATCTGAACATCAATGTTGGCATCCCTGTGAATATTCATCTGAACATCAATGTTGGCATCCCTGTGAATATTCATCTGAACATCAATGTTGGCATCCCTGTGAATATTCATCTGAACGTCAATGTTGGCATCCCTGTGAATATTCATCTGAACGTCAATGTTGGCATTCCTGTGAATATTCACCTGAACATCAATGTTGGCATCCCTGTGAAGATTCTTTTAGATATATTTTTACCTATATCTGACAAAATGGCAAAAGCTACACATCATTTCTAAGGAATGTAGATTCAATTAATACCTCTCTCTCTCCTTGATTTATAATATATGTTTGGCAAGATATATATAGTACAAGACACACTAATTTTCTTTCTCTAATCTATATATATCATATTCTAAGGTGTAAATACATGGCTATTATACATGCATTTAGGGACAATGAAGTACTGTATGTTTAAATTATTATTTTGAAACTGGCTGTCATGGGTTCCATTAACAAATTATATACAAAAAATATTCTAACACATGACCGAATTAGATGATTGCTATGCAATTCACAACACAATGGTTCATTTAATAACGATAAGATTCATTTATTAAACCCACCTTGAGAATATTGATAAATGGACACCAGTTTTGTGAAGAATATATATAGAACTCTTACTCATTTAACGCTTGGTACGAATATGACATATACCAGACGGTGTCGCTAATTTGAAATAACGGTTTTATACACGCGTGCAGCGAGTTGGAAGACTAATTTAATTAGGGTTTGATGCCATAGTGTTTACGTTAGTGGTCCTCTGTAACAATATGTATTTTTTGGTCGTCAGGTAGTATACTCAGATATGCTTCAGTTAGCTCAAAAATATGTACCAATTCCAATGATATTTCCGTTCTGTGCAGTTCAACAGGGACAGAAAATGCTCGCTGTGTTTCTTTATCGACATTTCTATACATATATTGGTCCTTGGCAACTCTCTTTTTGTGCTAGCTTGTCTGCCTAGACATTTAGCAAGGTTACAGATCTTGTGATATGATAAAAAGTTTTAATATATTAAATTTTTCAATGCAGCACGCAATGACCAACGTAAAGGCAGTTTCTTTTGAACTAATTTAGAATATCTATGTATATATATACATTATGCGACTCAAGTACTATGAAGTGCGAGCTGTCCTATTCCAAATGGCATTTGGACCCCTTCTATTTTAATCAATACCGTAAACGAAATTATATTAGATTTCAAAAGCATTGTGTTTTCCATTCAAAATTAAATGATAAAGCGTCGGCAATATAATAAAGTTTTATAGGACAAATGGTGCTGTATGAAAGAGGGACAGTTAGTGCGTCATATAGGCGACAAGCTAAGCTTTATATATCGTACGTGCAGATTTCAACACGTGATCGACAGTCACATGGTCCATTTATGTATTTAATATCAATTACAGAGAACCGAGTACACTCTATGGTTCCACTGATAAAATTACCAAAGCAACAACAATACAAGTTTTCAAAGGGTCTAGTGGAGAAGTAACGTTGTTTACAGATGTTGTAAAGATACGACACAACGGATAAAGATGGAAATACGGACACAATCCGGTTTAGACATCAGCTGTTTCTGTGTGTCGGTCTCTAGGCTGGCCCATTTACAACTCATGGGATGTATAATCGCTTTATACGTGGAGAGGATATGTTGTACCACGATTCTCATCTCTTAGATTACTGAGATTGCATTTTGTTCCAATCCAAAAAATCCATGAGATGTAATGAAAGATACATTAAACAAGCTGCGCGTAAACGGAATAAGGGAGGTTAAGGAAATCTACACAACAATAACACTGCATTAAAACGCTTATATATTATACACTATGGGGAATTGTTGGATGATACTCGATATATATAACCATAAAATCAAAAATTATAACACACCATGAGGAAATATTCAGTCAAACTCGATATATCGCCATCAAATCCAAAATTATAACACACTATGAGGAACTGTTGAGTCGATTTTGATATATCGCAATCAAACACTATTAGGAACTGTTGAGTCAAATTCGACACAATGCCATCAAATTCAAAATTATAACACACTATTAGGAACTATTGAGTCAAATTCGACACAATGCCATCAAATTCAAAATTATAACACACCATCAGGAACTATTGAGTCAAACTCGATATATCGCCATAAAATCCAAAATTATAACACACTATGAGGAATTGTTGAGTCGATTTTGATATATCGCAATCAAACACTATTAGGAACTGTTGAGTCAAACTCGATATATCGCCATCAAATCCAAAATAATAGTACACCACGAGGAACTATTGAGTCAAACTCGATATATCGCAATCAAATCAAAACCTATAACTCTATGCAGAACTATTGAATCAATTCGATATACCGCCATCAAATCCAAAATTTGAAAACACCATGAGGAACTATTGAGTCAAACTTGATATACCGCCATCAAATCAAAACCTGTAAAACACTATGAGGAACTATTGAGTAAAACTCGATATACCGCCATCAAATCCAAAATTATAACACACTTTGAGGAACTATTGAGTCAAACTCGATATATCGCCATTAAATCCAAAATTATAATACACCATGATGAACTATTGAGTCACACTCTAAGCGATTTTTTGTGATAAATTCGATATCCTTGTTACGTATAGAACAATACAGAAAACTGCTGCATCGAATTCGATAGAACGAAATGCGATATTTATACTCTTAGACTCTAAGGACTTTATAACGAGACACAGTGTACAAACATATACACAACACCAAGAAATTTTTATTGTACATTTACATAAGCTTTACACCATCAAAACACATCCGAGGGCACTGTGTTGTAAAGTTCGATATAACGACATCCAGTACACAAACGTTTAACTGTCGTTACAGCCGACATTAAGACATTGAAAGAAGTCTCTTGATACCGTTTTATTCATTTTTTCGGAATTGATTTTCTTGTCTCCGAACTTTCTTTAAGAAGAAAAACTATGATTGGTTATATAAAAGTCGAGAGACGCAGACCTATTATTATTAACGTCTATGTGGTAGGGTTGACAATATGGTTTTATAGGATTTGTCATTATCCTTACATTATAGATATATTCTATAGCCTGTGACGAGAGTATCATCCATCTAAAGCTTTATCGACTAGTCACTAACTGTTGTAGTCCTGCTGTAACAGCTCTGAAATATGGATTTCTAGTCAACCCATTTCAAACGTTTCTGACATTACTGACTTTAGATTTTTTTAAAAATGTTTTTTGTCTTTCGAACAAGGTTTGTCAAGATCGAAAAAACTTTAAACATTATGGAGTTGTGCTTGCAAGAAACACATCTATTCTGCACCAGCCCCTTCACAATGATTCAATAGTGTTGGTATTTTGGTACTGTCAGTACACAATGATATAAGGTCAGTACAATAGTGTTGGTATTCTGGTACTGTCAGTACACAATGATATAAGGTCAGTTCAATAGTGTTAGTATTTTGGTACTGTCAGTACACAATGATATAAGGTCAGTTCAATAGTGTTGGTATTTTGGTACTGTCAGTACACAATGATATAAGGTCAGTTCAATAGTGTTGGTATTTTGGTACTGTCAGTACAGTATACAATGACAGTCAGTCTGTAGAAGCTTCGTTATGACAAGCATATATCTTTATCGTTGTAAGGTGTCATGACAAAGTACAAGATTTTTACTCGTTTCATGTAAAATCTTAATAAACTGCTAAATGTTAATGAGTTAATTTGAATGCTACAGCCATAATTATCGTGTACCTTTGTTTTCATCATTCATACATTCCGTACTCCTATACCAAACCTTAAACCAGTCAGATCCTATCATTGGCAATGGAGTGAACATAGAGAGTCTTCGGGTTTAAAACCTCATACTCTAATGGCGATAGGAAATATTTGTATATATCAGAAAAGAAAGATTTCGAATATGATATTATTGTACGGCTTACAAAACAAGAGTAAAATGGATATCCCTGATTCCGGTGATACATTGTATTTATTTTGTAGCCTTTTTTAAGCGAATGAAAGTCTATTTATTTGTTGAATTATCTGTGTCTATTATTGAATGTCTACGTCCCAGCCGCAAGGAACTCAGTTGTGCTATTCTGATGAAGGCCAACCATCCCAACCCGATAATATTTCAAAGCTGAACAACAAGAAGAGCCTGATACAGTACCTAACGATGTTTCCGCTAATGGTTTGGTTTAGCTCTGGGGACCGTTTGGGCGAACACCCAAAACAAAGGCAAAAAGCGACGATAGACAAGAAACACGTTAGGAAACGTATGAGTTTAGAATTTGATTTTGTGCATCAATGTATTACATTAGATATAATAGGTATGTAGTCTGCCCCTGTCTAGTTCATGGGTACAGGACATCAATGTAAATTCTAAATTTTGCGTTTTTAGATACTATTAAGTCACACAGGCATGCCCATACATACAAGCTGTTTCTTTGTTATATATATTTCCATGGCAATACGTTTCACTGGCCTCACAACACCAAATTCTTTGTATATATATAATCTCGTGGAACTAACCTCCAAATAACGATAGATTATAATTGATCCTGTGATCTTTGCTGCGTTCCTTGGGAGCGCTTCTTTGTCTCTTTTTTCACACATGTGATATTTTATCCCGATATCTACCTGCCGACTTAATGCGTATTGACCTTGAGGAAACATTCTTCTACGTTGATGGATTGTGGAGGATATTTCTATAGCTTGAAAATATTTTCGATTTGGGATCCGATAGTGATTTATGGTATGATCAGATTTTACTTTAAGTGTGCATGTGTACAGAACGTGTATTGATTGTGTTAAAATCGGCACTCTTTCCCATGATAGACCAGCTGTTTGTACGGCGCCCGTTAAGGACGTGAGGAACTGGGGTGTTATACATCTTGCGTGTGTTTTTGTTAATTGTGTGGCGTTCCCTGTGGTGTTAGTACGGCACATGTTCAATAGTTTAAGCACGTTGCAACAGTCCGCAAACTACCAAAGGCAATAACGTTTGAGGGAGATAGTGTTTTTGATCGTTCTTTCGAAAATCGACTTTTTATCTCTTACGATTGATCATCTCCATAAAGTGTAAGAGCCAGAAACATTGCGTGTGGCGAGTGCTATTTATTACCAAATTGAAAGC